GCCCCAGCCCCACCCTTCCTGCTTTGTGAAGGGAGCCATTGGGGTGCTAAGCCCAGAAGGTTGGAAGCCTCTAGAAGACAAAATGGAAGCTCTTTTTATTTAATAGCATAGGACCATATGATGCCTTTGGATACACATGAGAGGGATGGCAAACTGAGGCCTGCTTTAAATGGCCAATCACCACGCAGAAGATTAAATAAGACAGAGTAAAATCACAGCGAGGTTATTTGCAATAGCTAAAAGATGGAAGCAAGGCTGCCACTGACAGATGACTGAGCAACAAACTGTGGTCTCTACAGACAATTGGATATTATTCAGCCTTAAAAAGGAAGGGAATTCTGACATAGGCTACAACGTGGGTGGAGCTTGAAGATGCCATGATAAGTGAGATAAACCAGTCACAAAAAGATGAATATTGTACAATTCTATTTATATAAGGAACCTAGTGTAGCCAAATTCAAAGAGACAGAAACTAGAACGGTGGCTGCCACCGGCTTGGGGGACGGAAGCATGAAGAGCTGATTAAAGGATCTAGTTTTCAGTTTTTGCAAGATGAAAAGAGATTCTGGGGCTTGGTTGTATAATAAGGCGAATCAACTTAGCACCTCTGAACCATACACTCTAAAATGGTCACCAAGTACGTTGTAGGTGTGTTTACTACAATTTTTCAAAAATGGTGTCTGCTTTCCTCTCCTTTTGTGTTGCCATGTAGAATTTTTACAAAACTTCTTTCACTTATTTAACAAATATTTGAGTGCCTCTAGGAATGAGGCACTATTCCAAGAGAAATAGCCACACGTGAGACCAGCAATCTGCTCATCTCTGGAACTTAGAATGCGATGCAATGGGGGGGGGGGACCATATCAATATTTGGTGGGTGATAAACTCTATTAAAAAAATTAGATACTGAGTTGACTGGGCTACTTTAAATTGATTGTCAAGTGTTATTCATTGGAGGGGCTTTGTTCAGTTTGGGTTGTTTCAGTGCTATTTAAAAACAGAGAAAGATCATTGTTTAATTTTTATTCTATAACCCGCTGAACTGGATTTACCATGAATCACCATCAGCAGTGTTCAGGGCCCAAAATAGGGACAATGAGTCTAGTTTGGCACAGCAGACTGATCTAGTGGACCATCTTGACCTGCCAAAATTGTCAGGTGACTTTCTTTTTTCTTTTCTTTTTTTTTTTTTATTGTTGGGGATTCATTGAGCGTACAAGAAACCAGGTTACACTGATTGCATTTGTTAGGTAAAGACCCTCTTACAATCATGTGACTTTCTAAGATAAAGTTGTCACAGATGGTTCCAACTTCGGGCTGGGTGGTATCTGAGGTGAAGCCTATAGGCTAACAGGGCTACTAGAATTGTCCCTTCAGAATTGGTTGCTAGGGGCCCAATATTAATTTCAAAATCTGTGATGGCATAGTTGACTCACACTACCACAGGGCCCCTCTTCAGAAAAGACAGCTATTAAGGCCCGGGAATCAGTTTGCACAGACAGGTGCTAATCCCAGTGGTAATTCCTTCCTGCCTTGCTGTGATTCCTGCTTCACCTCTCACTCAGCCTCATGATGAATTCAGAAGCCCGGGGAGCACAGAGGTCAGCTCTGCAATCAGATGCTATACTTAGCACACTCACACTTTATTGCCGTAGAAAATGACCCCCACAGTCCTAAACAGCTTTGTCTCAAGTATCTGGAGCAACCCCATATCTCATTGTTTCTTATGCTGAGGAAAAACAAGAATTCAGACAAACAAGCTTGCTTACGGAGATGCTCAGAACAGTCCATTTTGGCCAGACATTCATCTGTACACAGGACAGAAACCTGTAACCTTGATCCATCGAGTGGCTGTGGTGGGCCAGGCACCATGGTGAGTTTGGGGGACAGAACAAGATAAACATTGTCCTTGTCTTCAGAGAACTGACGGGTAAGCTACAAACAAAATGATGCAAGGATAGGAAACTGTGACAAGTGTCTGGACAGAAGGGAGGTAGTGGACACAACCTTATCTAGAGGATTTGGAAACCCTCCCAGAGAAAATGGCATTTAAGCAAAGATCCAAAGGATACATTGGAGTTGGGAAGTGTTAGGCAGGGCACTAGGAAAGGAAAGGGTCAATGCAAGGGTCTAGAAGCAAAAAGGAACAGGATGCTTTAGGAAAAGGAGGGAAAATCCCATTATCACGGGGGGACGGTGTGAGGAGGTGAAGGGAGAGGAGAGAGAGGGGATGCTGGAATGAAGGGCTGGGCTGGGCTGTAGAGGGTTAATGCAGGCCAGTGGTGAGGGGTGTGTAGTTAACAGGAAGGGGGAGAAAAGCCAAGAGTAGGAGACCAGGTAGGCGGGTGTTGGCCTAAGAAGAAAGATGAGAGAATGATCTGAACAGGGGAAGAAAAAATGGTCAGGACTGGAGAGAGATTTAGGAGGAGGAACACACAGAATCCCCCTCCTCTCCACAGGTGGATCATACTTGGGCTTCATTTTGGAAGAGGATTCAAATCCTATAAAGCATTTTGTGAAGCAGCAGTCTATTACAGGGCACCTTCTGATACCTATAAGAGAGATGATGGCAAAATGGCCAATCATCACACCAAAAATGAAATAAGACAAGTTCAAAAGGATGTATACCATCACAGCAGCAACATTCACAATAGCCAGAAGGTACAAGCAATCTCAGCATTCACTGAGAGATGACTGGATAAGCAAATGTGGTATATCCAGGTAATGGAATATTACTCAGCCCTTAAAAGGAAGGGAACTCTATCACATGGCACAGCATGGATGAGCCTGGAGGACATGACGCTACGTGAAATAACCTGTCACAAAAGGACAGATACTGTATGATCCAACTACATGAGGCACCTACAGTAGTCCAAGTCATAAAGACAGAGAAGTAGAAAGATGGTCGCTAGGGTCTGGGGGAAGGGAAGAGAGGCGGGTTACTATTTCATGGGTAGAGTTCCATTTTGATAGATGAAAACATCCTGGAGATGGGGACTAGTGCTGACAGCACAACAGCGTGACTGTGTTTGATACCAGGGAACTCTACACCAAAGAATGCTGAAGTCCATAAACTTTACCTGGATGTTCCCATGGTGTTTTTTAAATCAAAAAGAAAAATTTTAGAGTACTCATTGCCCCCCCCCGGGTAGTGTCTGCTCTGGAATGTCCAAAACTACTTTCAAACCTATGCTTAATTAACTTTGAAGGATAGTTTTAATTTTAACCAATTATAAAGGCAAGGCATTTCCACTGTAAAGATACTGAAAAGTCAGGAAAAGGATAATTTTTAGGAAAAAATAGGTAAAAATTATGATTCTCACACAACGGTAAAATGACAAGGGTGAATGATGTTATTTAACTCATTATTTAATAAGGAGAGCAGTGAGATGCTAAAACTAGTTTAAAAGAAAATTTGAAGAAGCCCTGAGCACGGTTCCCTGTAGTCCCAGCTACTCAGAAAGCTGAGACAGGAGGATCCCTCTCCTGAAGCAGCTGGGGTCCAGCCTGGGCAACGTGGTAAGACCTGGTCTCAATTTAAAAAAAAAAAAAAGCAAGGAACACACATGTACAGAAAAACCTCTGTAAGTTGACCACTCAAGATACTGTAACACACTGGTCAACATACGGAGGTGGTCAAGGTAAGGAACTAGGTCTACTGCTATTGACAGGTATGTGTGGTGCATGTCCAGTCTGTGAAAAGTAGGTCAACTTGGGCAGCGCCTGTGCCTCAAAGGAGTAGAGCGCTGGCCCCATATACCGGAGGTGGTGGGTTCAAACCTGGCCCTGGCCAAAAAAAAGACAAGAAAAGTAGGTCAACTTAAGGAGGTGTCAGTGGAGGGAGGTGGTCCGCTATGGAGGGTCTACCGTATGGGCAAAGAGCAATGCTAAAATGAATTGCCAAATCAATGCCAAACTGCGCAATAATCAGTTACATTCCACTGGATAAACTTATTTGCATTTCTATGGACTAAAGTCATTTGGAATACTACAGGTTTTCTATAAATTATAAAGTTGTAAAATAGCCCAAAGAGGATGGAAGCCCACTGGATCCTACGGAATTAGATAAACCTACTAAGTGTGCTAAACAGGAAGGACCCCCGATAACCCCCCTCCCCACTCCCCCCTCTTGAAAGTCTTTAACAGGCTGAAAAAAAAAAAAAAAAAAAAAGCAAAGAAAAGCCTCTTGGAACGCTTCAACCCAGAAACGCACTTGCTTTGGTTCTTTTGAGTCAAATTCAGTCCAGACTGTGGAGCTTTTATTAAGTAAATTAGGTTTATTAAACAAGACAGTTTGGGGGACGGGCTCCTGGACTAGGTGGGCTCCCGCACGTCCACCTGGAGCGCCTCCATCAGACCTGAGCTCTGCGCTCCCCCAACTCCGCTTCAAGTGTCAGCAAGTTACAGAGCAAACCCAGGGGCATCGGGGATCCGCCGGCAGTGGAGGGAGAAGCCGTACCCGCAGGGTCGACGGGCAGGAGCCAGACAAAAACTTTTCGGAACTGAGATCCCACTGAGGAACAGGGAAGCCTCGCTGCCACCGGTTCGGGCGCGGTCGTCTGAGCTGTGCCGCCTCTTCCCTCCCCGCCCACCGCCGACCTGGGAGTCAGGGGCGGGGCGACCTTTGCTCCGGCCGTGGACGGGTCGCGGGGTGGGGTGTCCCCGCCTCTGGGAACCTGAGCTCACCTGCCGCGCGGAGGTGGCCCCGCGGCTTCCTGCGCGCACCTCGCGTCCCTCCCCCCGGCCGGGTTTGGTCGCCTCTGCGCGCCAGCTCCCGGGCTCGCGGTTTCGGTCAGGCGCGCCCGGGGGCAGGTTTCGATCAGGGCCGGCGGGAGGGCGGAGCGGCGGGACGCAGGAGTGGGTACAGGGACGTCCCGCGCGTGAGATAAAGAGCGGCGGGGACAGAGCCGCGCGCGGGACTTCGGGGCCGGAGCCGGAGTCGCGCGGGGCGCGGGCGGCGGCGGAGAGGGGCGCGCGCCGGTCGGCGCGGAGGGCCCGGGATGCGGACGCCGGTGGTGATGACGCTGGGCATGGTGCTGGCGCCCTGCGCGCTGCTGCTCAACCTGACCAGCACGCTGGCGCCCGGCTGGAGGGCGGTGAAGGGCTTCCTTGACCAGCCGGTGGACGTGGTGCTGTACCAGGGCCTGTGGGACATATGTCGCGAGCAGAGCAGCCGCGAGCGCGAGTGCGGCCAGCCCGACGAGTTGGGCTACTACTCCGCCCAGCCGGTGCTGGTGGCGCGGGGCCTTATGGTCACGTCGCTGGCCACCACGGCCCTGGGGCTGCTGCTGGCGACGCTGGGCGTGCGCTGCTGGAGGGACGAGCCCCACTTCCCCCTGGCTGGCCTGGCCGGCATCGTGCTCTTCGCCGCCGGCCTCTTCAGCCTCATCCCGGTGTCCTGGTACAACCACTTCTTGCAGGATCGCGACGTCCTGCCCGCCCTGGCCAGCCCGGTCACGGTACAGGTCAGCTACAGCCTGGTGCTGGGCTACCTGGGCAGCTGCCTGCTACTGCTGGGCGGCTTCTCGCTGGCGCTCAGCTTCGCGCCCTGGTGCGAGGAGCGCTGTAGCGGTAGCCGCAAGGCGCCCCCGCGGGTTGGCCAGCGCCGCAGCAGCATCAGCACGGTCTATGTGAACTGGCCGGAGCCCCCGCTCGCGCCCGCCATCAAGTACTACAGCGAGGGCCAGCACCGGCCGCGGCCCGCGCAGCCCGAAGCTGCGGCCAAGCCCAAGGTCGGCTTCCCCATGCCGCGACCAGCGCTCAAGACCTACACCAACCAGCTGGACGTGCTCGATGGGGAGCGGGGGCAGCCGGCCCACTCCCAGCCAGCCGCGTCTCTGCCCTGCGACTCCGACCTGTAGACGGCGCCTCCCGGGGCCTGCGCGTCGGGAGTGCTGGGCGACGGACGGCTCATCCCTCGCAGAGGGGGCCTGGCTTGGAGCTGAAACCCTGGAGGCACCTTGCTGTGACTAGTTTGGAGGACGATCTTCCTTTCTTGTGGCCAGACTAGACTCCTTGGATGGTTGGTTCGGGCTGGGCTCGATTTTCTTCTCAATAGAGTTTCGTTTTCCTCTCCAGAGGGATCAGGGTCCTCTCTCGGAGTAATAAGTTTTTCGTATTTCCTGCTGAAGATGTACAAAGGGTGCCGTTTGCATCGTGTTGGCCAGAGACAGTAACAACAAAAAGTTGGAATCAGCCAGCAGAGGCTCAGAAACAATTTAACACCTTGAACCAACATCGTTCTAAAATACTGAAGGATCTGGCATCAATACAGTGGTTTTTTCCTGCTGTTTTAACTCAGTGTCATACAAACTCAAGAGGCCAGTCTATTTTTTGCTATGTTTGAATGAGACTCTTCAAAGAAACTTAGCGCCAGGAAATAGGGGCTCTTACGGAATGAAGTAACCTGATTAACTCACGTCTACGTTTCTTTGTGCATAAATAAGATTTCTCTTTTTTCACTCACTTATTTTTGGTGTGAAAATTGATGTCACTCCGAGAGTTTCTTTTGCGGAAGCCAGAAGCAGAATGAAGGACTTAACGCTATTAATTCCATTTCTCAGATACCTCATGGTGGACACAAAGGACTGTATATAATATTTTGTACAAAATGGAACCTAGTAATCACATCAGGTTAAAGTACAGATGTATGTATCTTTTATTTATAATTAAAATTGTAAAACAACAGTTTCCATATACCCACAAAAGCTTTTCTGTCTTCAGTGCAACCTTTGGGAGTTTAAGCTTTCCTTACTAACAATTTCCTGGCTATGGAGGGAGTTTCTGAAATCTAGCACTCATATCTTTGCACCTCTTAGCATAAGATTACTAAAAGGCTCCACTTTAATCTGATTGCATTGCTTTCGGGTTCATGCTGTTTTCTATGCAAAGCCAAGTCTATTGTTGAGCAGGGGGAAAAAAACTAGAAGCACCAGTTTCCACTTGATGTGGGCATGGAAATCTTTCTCTTTTGTAGCGGTGGTGCTAAAAAAAATCACAGGAAGACAGCTCTGTGGTCCAGGGGGAGACTGAATCTCCAGCCGGGCTGGATTTAAGGGTGGTTGATACAAGGGTGCCTTTAAATAAACTGAATGTCATCTTTAAAACCTGCTGTTTGGAGGTAGGGACATTCGGTTCTGTAAGCACTGGTAATAGTACAATGGAGCCAGTTCAGCTGTACATGCTGTTTAATTAGCAGTAGACCCCATGGTACAGATTCACTTTCTGTGCTACTTTGTGCTGGAATCAACTGTTTTTCTCTTTTTGAAGCCAAACTTTAATATGCAGCCTTTATCACTGGGATCTTTTTCAAATGCAGATTCTGATTCTATAGGTCTGGAGTGAGGCCCTGAAAATGATTTTCCTAACTAGCTCCCAGCAGATGCCAATTCTGGCAATTGATGGACCACACATCAAGTTGCAAAGCTTTCTCTGAGTCTCTCTGCCTCTCTCAAATTTCAATTCCCCACTGGTGGCTCATATTCAGACTGTTGAGTGCCTGCCACCTAGCTGAGTTTGGGGACTTGCTCCGGGGAACAGAGCGGGGTAGAGAAAAGGCAACAGGGCACTTTTTAGCTAACACCTCAAGAGGCAACAATTAGGAGCCTGCGGGGTCAGCACCCAGCAGACAACATTCTGATACTGGGTTTCTGGCAACCAAGGAATCTCACTGCATCATAATTCCACCTATTGCTAGGCATGTCTTGGAGAAAACAAAACCGGTGTTTTGCAAGTTTTATTCCCTTGCCCAATGATTCCCCACTGTCTTCTATGAAAAACATTTCCTCTCTGAGGATTAAGATTTGGTTGCTGAGACTTAAAACTATTTTTGCCCCATAAAACCAAAATTGCTTTATAAAAATGTAAACTTGGTTTTTCTGCTACAAAAATATTCCAGACAACATGGAAAGAGATTTTGCATCAAGCTGCTTATGAATTTGGGCCTGAAGGTCCTTCCCTGCCTAGTAGAACACAATGAACTTCAATCCCTTTATACCTGGGATGCCATCCAATGAAAACTTTTTTCTTTTTTTAGAGACAGGGTCTCCTCTGTCACCCAGGCCAGAGCTCAGTGGCTTCATTATAGTTCACTATAGCCTTAAACTTCGGGCTCAAGTGATCCTCCTGTCTCAGCCTCCTGAGTAGCTGGGGATACAGGGGCTTACCACCATGCCCAGCTAATTTACTCTTTGTAGAAACAGGGTCTTGCTATGTTGCCCTGCTCTTGACGCTGCTCTTGAACTCCTAGCCTCAAGCAATCCTTCTGCATCTGCCTCCAAAAGTACTGGGATTACAAGCATGAGCCACCAACCCTGACCCAAAACTCATTTTTAATTCTCCCAATCCCCAAATGAAGTATGTGTCCCCATTAAATGGATGAAATCTTTCCGAGATTACTCAAGGGATGCTAAGAGGGACACTGGGATCTGTGAAAGTAGAACAGAAACTGTTGTAACTGGCTCCTACTCCACCCATGTGCCAATCTAGCTCTCAGGTAGATGCACACGCCCTGGCCAGGAAGGGGTGTGGTCTGGAACACACACCTGGTTAGACGCTGCAGAGGCGGCAGGAGATGCTTTGGGAACCACCCTCCCCTTCACTGCGTAGATTATTCAGCCAGTAAGTTTGGGGGGCACTGACATTTTGCCAGCACATTTTTGGGCACCGTGGAAAAACACCACCATCGCAGGCTGTCCCTTGGTGGAACTGAAATACCGTGGCTGACAGTGTCCAAACAAAATGAAAAATAATAAGCCAGAATCAAAGGATGGAGAGGAAAAGGTCATACTCTGGGAAGGAAGGTCAGGAAGGAGGTGATACTTGAGCAGAGAAGTGAAAGAAGGGAGAGGGGAGAGCATTTAGGGAGAGGGGAGAGCATTTAGGCCGAGGGAAGAGCAAACCCCAGAGTTGCTGCTCCCAGCATGCTTTGCTTCTACTTAATTCTGGAACGGTGGTTAGGACAAGCAGCAGGTGGCAACACGGCAGAGAAAGGCCAAGGAAATCTTGTCATCTACATTGTGTCAGGCTTACAGCTTTTTTAGGAGGGAATAACGTCAACCTGTTTTATAGAGTGTTTCCAGAATCAAAAACAGGCAATTTGATAAGTGAATAGTTGGTGGGGAACATTCCATTCTGCCAAGAGACAACCCCCCCAGTATAGGAAGCAGATGAGAAATTAGAAGCTAAGAGCTTCACCACAGCTCTGGGGGGGATGGAAGAGTTTCCCAATCAGAGTCTCTTCCTCCACACCCCTCTGCGTCTTCAATCTTCCCAAAACGAAGGCGATCATTCATCTCTTTAAAACCCCCAAGCTTTTCCTTACATCCTTATCCACGCCTACATGTCTTCCATGGTTTGGCCAAGGCCTGTGTGTTCACACTCACTGGTTTCTTCCCCACCAGCACATTCTGACATAATCCCTTCCCTGTCAGCTCAGAAGTGTAGCATTTGAGCATATCATTTACGTGTGGCTTAACTTGGGGAGCGCTTTTCTATTTTACTTCTAAATTGCAGGTAAAGGCATGGATGGTTTCTATTTATCGTGTAATCCTAGAATGGAAACTAACGGTTCCTCGGTGCCTATTAGCAATTTAATAAAATTACTTCTCAAAACCTCGTTCTGTACCTGAGGGCTTCCTCAGCCTTTATACCGCCTGTCGTGCATCTAGAAAGTGACATGTAGACTGAGGCCACCGGCCTGGGGAACCCAAAGACAGAGGCATTA